GTGCTAGGCTCTGATCATCAGAGGAGGTGGGGGACAAGCACAACCGTGTTAAACTTGCATTTTCTTCCACCAGTTAGAAGGAAATTCTGAGCAGCTGACTTGTGTTTTGTCTCATCAGGAAATATTGGAGGAAGTTGTAAGAGAGTTACACAAAGTGAAAGAGGAGATAATTGATGGTAAGAAAGAGAAAAATTATTATTTTTCTCATCTTTATGACTAATTTCCCATAGATAAGATGATAGGAACTGCAGAGAGTTCCCTGGTGTTTTCAGACTTCTATGAGCAGCTCTGATTTATATACACGTTTGAAGAACAAGCATCTACTTTAAGTGAGCTCTGATCGTGACACTGTGTTTACATCCTTTATTTTTATGGTGTTGATGAGCATTTTCACTCCCAGCCTGTGAGAAAATCACTGGCTGGTGTTTCTCACAGGTGAGAGGATGAGAGATGGCCTTCCCATAGCATGTCAGTTTATCACAGTCAGGGAGCGTGAAATCACTTGTAACTAGCTGGCCACACAGGTTCGGATGAGGAGAGGACAAAGGTACCAAACCGAAAATCCATCCCGATCATCTTCTGTAGGTTTTGTATTCTTGTAGAGCTATTTCAGACCTTCATTCAATTCCAGCTTTCCAAATAGCCATGTATTTTTATAATTTATTGAAAAGTACAACTGTACTAAATGTATCAGTACTGTTTTACAAATTGCTGTGCAATATATAACTAAATGTGTTTTTCAGGGCCATTATTGAAATGCATAGCAAAATCTGTATCTGAAGCCCACATTAGGGCATATGAAGATGCATTTCCACACCCTGCGCTCCCCATCTTAGATTCACATAGAAGGGGAAAGAGAGGAGACTGTAAAACAGCTAAAATCCATTCCCCATCCCCTCCCCCTAGACCTGTGTGCTCACAAACCTTTGGGCAATTTGCAGTTGAGGAGACCCTTGCTAGCATCGCAGCAGCTTGGCCCTCAGAGCCTTCCTAGTTCATTCCAGTGCAAAATAAGACATTCACATAAACCGCAGATGCAACTTCTTAGCACCAGTACTGCAGTTTGCAAGCAAACAGCTGCCTACCCTTACTCATCCTTTTACCCTCCACTCATTCTTTTACCAGCGTGTACTTTCTGCAACCTCTATACTTAGCATTTTCCATCACACTGGGTATGACATTACGCATTAACCTTTTGGTTTGGTTTTCTAGCCATACGGCAGGAGTTGAGTAGAATCAGTACAACATAATGATTGCAAAGCATTTGGACGGTACTAAGAATGCTAGGAAGATCGGATCATTTCTAAGTGTACCAAGGTCATGCAAGATGGTGAGAGAGGACACCGGCACTGTCTTTGTTCTTATACCCTTTTTATTAGCAGACTCAGCACACTTTGAAGCTTGCTGCTGCCTTGGATTCACTTCATTTTAAAAGTCTTAATCTAAAGAATATTAAATTTTAAATTTCTGGATTTTTTAGATTTCATCTGACACTGCACATTGGATTTGTCAGCCTTTTTTGTATTTTGTATTTGCTTATTTAAATGTATTACCTTTCTTTTTAGTAGTAGATAAGAACACACGTGAACCATTTGCTTTTGATAGATGACTTCAAAGTCATTTTACTAGTAGTCTGCAATGTAAATGAAGATCCTTGCCAACAGAAATGTATTGAGGCATCACAAGAAGAAACAGAGACATGTTAGTTGTCAGCCAACAAGTTCTTTGTCTCAGAGTTATCACAATATAAAAAAATGGTACGTCAGTGCATCACAGTATCTGTGTTCATATTGGTAATAAACTGTTTATTGTCCACATGGCCCTGCCTTTCTTTGTTTCATTCATCACTTGAGCTGCACTTTTACATCACTTGAGTTAATGAGAGGAAAGTGACTGAGACTCACTGTGGGTTGACAGCTCTGCCCAGCCATTGCCACTGAGCAGACCCAGGAGAGGAGGCAGGGTGAGGTGTGCTTTGCAGTTAGTTGTAAAATCTTACCTGCTTTGGCTTGAAAAGCATGGGATTGCTCTTTAGCACTCTTCAAATTAAGGCTGCCTTTTAGAAGACAGTCTGGTCTTTACAAAGTGGGTCTAGTGCAGATTAAATACAAAAGTCCATGTTTAATGCAATAGTGAGCTCCAGCCTGACCCTGATGCTGTTAGCCGTTTAATGCCAGCAGGAGGTGAGAGACAGGTTAAACAGTGAGGTAAGATTCCACATGGGAATTAAAGCTGTCAGACATTGATGTGCACCACAAACAACAGCCCCAGAAGCACAAGAAGGAGCCTTTCCACTAGGAAGAGCACAGGCAAGGATCCGTAACAGCAAAGATTATAATGATCTCATACAGTAGCTCATGTGTTTCTTAGTTATAAACCCATTTAATGGCAAACCTGACAATGTCAAGTATTTTTCAGAACTGCTGCCTCTCAGATAATCACAACCATTCTGTGAAACTCTCCCATAATCTTAATTAAGCTTGAGGAAGTTGGGGGCTGGCATGGCTCACGTTCTCCCTTGGAATGTGGCATTATGCCTAAGGTCAGTAATAACCCTGTTGTAATTCAGGCCAAGTGTACACCCTGGATATGGTGTGCCCTCTGTTAACATCAGCCACCTGCTGTAAATGAGTTTTTCTTACATTCTTCTGCTTTTGCAGGCCTCATATAATTAAGACATAATAAGCTGAAGTTTGCACAGGGCCACTTAATAGCTGTAGGAGCAAGGTGTGCCCGAGTCGAAGGGGAAGCTTGGCTGATAGGAGCAGGAGAGCAGACCTGGCAGCACTAGCACTTTGCTGGTTCCTAGCTTATGGGGACAGGGGTGCCCAGCGTGGTTTATTTGCAGATGCCAGAGGATTTCCCCTCCCAGACACTAAGTCAGGTTGCCTGTTTACTCTGTGGAGAAGGGTGTCCTTTCATGCTGGGCTTGTTGAGCCATTATGACAGGGCAGGCCATAGGCATTTTACATAGCAGAAATCAAAGCGGGCATTAACCTCCACTCCTGGCTTCAATACAGCAATTTTATTCCTATCTCGCTAGAGCATTAGTGTGGCCACACAGTGAAGTGGATCTGAATTTATTATTAAGTGAAGAGAATAAACCTATACATAGCCCTAATGTACTTTTAACCCAGACCCACATACTCTGTGTTTATCAAAAAAAACCCTGCTGCCAACATTAATGGTCATGGCCAAGACAAATGCCCATGCAGAGGATGGGATCACAGCCTTCTTCAGCAACACCCACACACAGTGAAATAGCTCACACCACACATCTGCCCATACCAGGCTTCCAGCCACTTCAAATTCCCAATGGAGGTGGAAAGCACAGAGCAGGAATTACCCGGGCAAAGCAAGCTGGGACCATAATGAAAATATTGATGGGAGGCAGGATAAGAAGCAGTTGCCAGGTTGGTTACCCATGCTTACAGCATAGCCTCTGTGTCAGGCTAGGCTAGTAATCTGTAGACCGCATATGTCAGTGCATTATGAAACAGCTGAGTAAAGAACTATAGAAAGGTCACTTGCCATAGAGGAGAAGGACAATAGTCAGGTTGAGGAAGAGAGATAGTATAATCTTTATTGTGGTTTTTATATTAACTTGCTAAGTCAGCCAGGAGAGTTCAGGAAGGATACATGAAGTTGAGTACATGATCGTGAAGTGCCAGCAGCTCTGAAGGGAATTAATAAAAGCCTGAAGCTTTCTGACATGAGCACTGATACAATGAAGTTAATGGAGGTTCCCATACCAAAACCTCTTCCTCTGGGAGAAAAATAAAAGGCTTTAATAATTAAGATACAACATCTTAAGCACATTCTTCACTGAAGAACCAGTTAAGTCTGAAGTGTCAGAATAGGCCCCAGTCTTCCTCTTCTTTTCCAGAAGCACAACCCACTAACCAAAACAGTATCTGAATGAACTAGTATTCTGGCCCTGCATCACAAAGGGTCTTGCACTGTTGAGCAAACCTGTGTATGTACCAGATTCATCAGACAGATGAGAAAAATGGAGAATGGGAAAATGGAGGAGGAGGAACCCAAATTGGAGCGGACTGGCTCGGCTGCCTGATGTGCCAGGTAGCAAACAGACAGGCTTACTGGATCCAGTGATGTAGAAGGAAAGAATAAAATTATGCACATTAAGGAAATTGGGCTTCCCAGATCTAATAATATACTTTGAGGAACCAATGAGAATGCACTATAATCCTTTCCTTTGCTACAGACATGGATTTCCAGGAGAAAACATAAAAGTTAAATTGTTAGAGGGTTAGAGTATAAGAAGGCCTTTATAGAACTCTTTTAACCATTTATTAAGGATAGAAATAAGTTGTCCGCTTTCCAGGGTGGAGCAGTTATTAGATGGCATCTGAATTCCTGACCCACGAGATACTGTTCTGCTTGGAGAAAGGTATGGTGAATAAGATTTTTGAAGATACAGAATTATTGATGATAGCAGAAGTTTATAGCTTGAGAGTTTAGGCAGGACAATTCAATTGTTCCAGTGGTTGGAAATGGCAGGTGAAGGCTAATGTCAATAGCCCGAAGTAAGACATGTAGGGAGGGAAACTACCCTACCTCCAAGTGTATACCTTTGACGCCATCAGAGGCAACTTTTAAAGAGCTGGAGAATCAAATGCTTCCCAAATGTCAAGTTGGTGTGCCTGAATGATAGAGGAAAAAACTTACAATTATTCTAAAACCAGTTAGGAACAAATCCCACTGTAATGTCTCTATGTCTTCACTGACACATACTAACTCCTATGCACAGAAAGGGGTATAATGTAGAGAAGACCAACAAAAGTGATCAGGAATGTTAACAACCTTGGTAAGCAGTAATTAAAATGAGAATCCTTTCATTCCCAAACAGACTTACAGTGAGGAAATGGATGAGAAACACAAAGTTTTGAACACTGTTGAGCAGGTGGGTGAGAAAGGACTGCCCATTTTCTCCATGTGCACATCCTGCTGCTGATCAGGCAGCCAGCAGAAGACTCCATACTACAGTTCAGCTCTGCCGGTTAGCTACAATGAGTTATATCTGAAGAATAGAAGTGCATTCAGAAAAGGTTTAGACAAAGTCCTGGAGTAAAGGTCAAACAGCAGCTACTGAAATAATGACACAAATGTACAAAAAACATACACATACTCCATTGCATATACAAAATCTCAGCTACCAGCAATTATCAGAAGATACTGGATTAGATATGGCATTGAACTAAAGGCACTCTTGTGTTCTCCAGAAAGTATTGTTTACTACTGTGTGCCAGTCTTCCCTGCTTCCACAGTCCCGTGCACACAGAGCATCTACATCTTACCTGGCATGAAGCAAAACCAGTCCAAAACTACACACATTCATGCTCACACATACACGCATCAAGCAGTCTACATTCAGATAAGGCCAAAACTCAGATGTAGGCACATGTGGCCCAGGAAGTTAATTCTAAGCCTAGGCCAAAGTTCATATAATCATAGCTTACTCTAATTTCTCAAGGTTACATACACAAATATCCTTTATTAAAAAGTATCAATAGTCTAAAATAGTGCATCCAGTTGCTTCATTTCCATACTTCTTCGTCTAAGGAGCACACACCAATGCCAATTCAGCACACACGAACATCCTCCTACTTTTGCAGAGAAGTCATTCAAATGAACAAACACAACACCAATGCAGCTGGCAGAGCTAGTCTATTAGCTTGCTTTTGCCAGCTTGCATAGTCTCTTAACCCTTGAATAAGGACCAATAGTGTCATCAAAAACGAAGTCCCACAGAACCCGAATCCAGGACTGGTGATGTGGAAGGTTATCGTAATATTCTGCTGCAATCTTCTTCACCTGGAAGAAGAGAGAGAAAAAGATCTATTTAGCTGCAGTGTCAAGTATTCAGTCCTTGCATTTAGATCTGATAGCACAGCCATAACCTGAAGTTACTTGTTATTGCTTGTGAGCCTCTGAAGTTCAGCCAAATGAGATGTACTTAAACACATTTAGATACTTCTTAGCAGATTTCTGATGTAAACTTTGCCTCACAATGTCAGAATTTGAAAGATGATGGATCACTGCCTTCAGTCAGAACTATTTTGTCTCATTTTGGTGGTGGAGTGATCTCCACAATAAGATGCCACCTTAAAAATCAGTGAGAATCCACCTATATTTAAAGCCCTGTTCACCACTTGTAATACTTGTCTTCTGAGGGTTCGGGGTAGGAGAGAAATACCAATTGAAAAAATACCAGACGCAGCCTGGCCTGCGCTTTAGGGCTTTTTTTCCTTGGTTCTGCTGGCGTGTTTCAAATCTGAGAGACGGGTTCCTCCAGCAGGCAGAGGGAATGGCAAGGGTGGTCTGTCCCCCTCAGTCTGGTGTTAAAAATGCTGCGAGATTCATTATTAGGTCAAAAGTCTAATAAAATTTCACCCCTTTTACAAATCTGCAAGCCTTAGGACTGTTGCCATCAGAGAACCATTGTGCACCACTGGGGGTGGCACCTGTAGCAGGAGTAAGGCTGGAACCAGAAGACAAAGAGGTTTCAAACCTGGCAGATTCAGGGAACTATGAGGATTCCCAAGTTGTCAGTAGTTCCTGCTCTAGCTAGGTGCTCTGCTTTCTGAACACACTTACGAAGCAGCAACGTCTGCTAACTATTGTACACTTGCACATAAACTGCTTGGGCATGGTTTTATTGCAGCTCGCCTCCCAGGCACACAGCTCTGTTCTAGAGTAGTTTGTCTTGCTGGACAGCATGACTCCTCTCTTTAAAAACCCTGCAGGATTTTAAAGCCAGCTATGCTGAGCACAGCATGGGTTTCCAGTGAAGAGCAAAAGGGTTACACAGAAATTGTCATCCAGGAGGAGAGTCTCATCAGCATCTGAGCTGTAACAGTGGAATCTTAACACAGCATTTTGACTGTAAAAAGGTAAGAATCCCAGCAGAAGTTAAATTATAAGCCAGTATGGCTCACTGATAGTTACCTCATTAATTCAGCTTCCTAGCAGGCACTTCCCTGTGAGGTAGCTGGGTAATGTACAAGTTTCATTAAGATCGTTTACCTTGTTACCTCAGCCCCTAAGTGTTCCCTGTGCTCATGGCATGGTGATGCTGTGTTGGAGGTAGAAGATTCAGTTAGGTCTGGTTGTATTCTGCCTCTCACTGAATACCTCTGACTTTCTAATAATTCCCTATATCCTGCTTTCAAGTGTTGTTCTGTAAGCTCCCTTGACTCCCCTGAATGAAAACCACTAATAAGGCCTGCTGCAAACACAGAGGGAGTTTCAGACACCCAGCCCCAAAAGCTTCACTCCGGCTCTGACATGGTCATTCCGTAGCACACTGCTGCTTACAGACCTTCCCTCCTACCTCCATTTAGAAGTTCTGCTTGAATTTTGACTTGCAACAGTAATATAGCCCTCATCCATACTAGCCAAGTTCATTTAGCAAGTCTACCATTCCCCTCTTCTCCAGACAGTTTTCTTGCTCACAGAAACAGTGCTCTGAAGCAGACACATTTTCTCAGCTAGTTATCTACAGAGTTCTTGATCGCGTTAGTCTGATGACTATGAGGGCTTCAGAAAGTCTTTTTGTATTGCCCCTTGCACATGGAAGCAGATGGCTGGAGATTAACAGAAAACAATTCAGCTCCTAGGAACAATGTCTCAGGCAAGGGCTGTGCCCTCTGGCACTAAAGGCTAACTAAAAATTACCCCAGTGATGAAGCAGGAAATAAAGGGCTCCAGAAGAGGCCAATAAACAGCCCATTTATGTTCAACCCAGTAGCTTCTGTGTTTTCAGCAAACACAAGCAGCAGTATAGTCCAGGCATAGGGCTGAAAAGTTCAGTGGACACGACATGCAGGTCTGGAAAACTGCACTTAAATATATTCCATACACATATTCTGCAGCTGCATCATGGATTTAAAATGGGCACCTAGAATACAAGTGTGATTTCATAAGATGATTAATAAGAATAATCAGCCGTGAATTTTGAAGCTCATACACATCATATTCTGGAATCAGGCAGCCTGCTTCAGCATCAGCTGACAGAGGAGTTGCTTGTTCACCAAGTATATCTGTTTAGCATCTTCCTGCAGTGTATGGTGGCAGCTCATTCTGGCTGAGAAGGTCAGTATGGAAACCACAAGAGATAATCAGGGGCTTGCACTGGAGTGTAGGTCAGTATGCAAACCACAAGAGATAATCACGGGCTTGCACTGGAGTGTATCACCCTAGATCAGCCATGGGACAGTGATTCACACCTACATGAAGTGATTCTTGGCTTTGCGCCCAGCAGCACCTTGTGCAGGAAGGCAGGCAGCACTTCCACCATTGGGAAGGTCCCTGTGCTCTGGGCAGGGCAGTTGTATGGGATGCACTGAAACAGTGGAGAGGGGAAGGTAAACTACAGTAAAATATTTGTGACAGAGGAATTGGGAAAACGGAAAATAAGGGTCTTCTTACGGAAAAGACAAGGAAGTGTGTTACATGCATCTTCCCATTTTGCTATCACATGGCAGGAAAGAATTTTTAAAACGGTTTCTCTTTTACAACGAATCTATGCAGAAGTTTCACAACAAAACCAGCTCATCTATTATAATTTCTTTCAGCATCTCCATATGTAAAATAAAATTATCATCTCCTCCATACCTACCATAAAATCTGGGGGTGGGAGGACAGAAAGTAATTATGTTTAAATGCAGATTCCCTTTTAAATACAACATTTAACTAAATCTATTAAGTATGTTTGAGGCTGAAAGAGTCATCCTCCATGTTGCATTCTGGGTGCAGTACAAAACCTGCAGTTTCTGTATTGCAAGTTTTGCAGCCAGATTATAGATAGTCTCAAAGAGGATTGCACTGTGATGAAGTATTCCTAAATCCTGATCCTGACTTCCTCCTCAAGCTCTCCATATTGCTTTGGAGAGAGCCCATGGAAGGATAACAAGAGATCACAAAATCTGCAAGAAGCTTATCAGGCACTTGGCATCTGGTATCTTTAGGCTTCTCTTAAAACAGATCAAGATGGTAGGTAACAAATCACATCTTTTAGACTGAAACTTTGCTTCTGGTTTTGTGCTTGTAGAGCCCAGGAACAGGACTCCAATCCAACACCATTGTATCTGGTAGGTGCAAAAGTTAAATGCGACCTAGTATATCACCACAGCTGTTATAGACCCTTTGTCCTGGACCTATACATAACCTAGAGATCCTTATGACAAGACTGAAAAAGTTTTCTTTAGAATGCTAGAAAGCACATTACCGAAGCTTATTCTGTAGTCCTTGATCAGCCCTGGAGCACTCAAGCTAGCCTTCCTGGACATCACAGGGTTAATGCAATCTGCAATTCAAAACCAGCACATCTACCATGTTTTCCAGTCTTGTCTGTCTAATAAATCTGGTTTCATACCATGTCTTTTCCCACAAGCTTAATGAGTAACTAGTTTGCCTCTGGTAATGCTGCAGTTTTTATTGCAGTTTGTAGGACAAGCTGAGTTTCTCCTCCTCCTGTCCCCTCTCTGATAAGTATATTCAATCCTCCAGATAACAAAGAATGGCTCTTTTACTCATTTCATAAGCAATGCAATGTTTTATAATTATAAGGCTTCATGAAAAGACTGATCCAGTCCTACGTTTTTTTTTTTAAAGCAGGTCCTTCATTGTAATGTTAAAGTTCATGCTCTCTTGCATAGTGTCTATTATACTAGTGGGAAAAGTTCTTACGTCACTCATCCTTAATATCGATAAGTTTACAGCACAGCCTAACTCTTCCTCTTTCAAAGGTCTTTCCAATGGCAAACACATTACTCAGAACATTCTGAATGACACACCTGTAACAAAGGACAAAACTGAATTTACTTTTCTGATAAGCAAGCAGAAGAGCCAGTTAGTTTCCAAGATCCAGTTATTCTTTGATCCTCTTTTTCCCCTGCTCTCAATCCTGCAGGAACTAAATAAAGATCTTTATTCCACTTTTTACTTGCCAATTATTAAAAACTAAAATATGTATACTGAAAGGTCATCCATATTACACAATTCAGCTCTTTGAAGTGCATAAGAGACTAGAACTGAAAAAAACGGACTTCTGTTGAGTGAGGAATTTGCTGGGAGGTTAAGCAGAGGAGAGCAAGGGAAGGATTCTACCCCTACCTGCAGTGGAGCTCAAACGTTAAATCTCTCCAGAGAGAATCTGTTCCCTTATCTCTTTCTGCTATAGACAGAATTTTTTCTTTATAGAATCATAGAATAGTTAGGGTTGGAAAGGACCTTAAGATCACCAAGTTCCAAACCCCCTGCTATGGGCAGGGACACCTCGCTCTAAACCGTATCACACAAGGCTCTGTCCAACCTGGCCTTAAACACTACCAGGGATGAGCATTCACAGCTTCCCTGGGCAACCCATTCCAGTGCCTCACCACCCTAACAGTAAAGAACTTCCTCCTTATATCCAATCTAAACTTACCCTGTTTAAGTTTGAACCCGTTACCCCTTGTCCTGTCACTACAGTCCCTAAATTCTTCTCATTTTGTAGCAAAAAACAAACAACTTGTTTTAACGGACAAAGGATTTTCTTCAGTAACTGTTTGCCAAAGGACTTTCACCTCCTAATACATTCTCACTTGTGATTGATCACTCATGAAAGACTCAGTTTTTCATATAGTTCAGACAGACAACAATGACTGACAAGCCTGGTATCTCCTTCACCAGCAGTGCAAGTCTCAGTTGCCTGAGAGTGAGAAACATATGAACATGAGCCCATCAAATTCAACTAATAACTCTTTCCTCTTCAGACAGGAAGGCAGACACTTCCAGCTGCTACACTGCCTCAAGTAATTAGGCTGAACTATTTGTGGGGTGGGTGGGGAAGAGCTTTGCAGGTCTCAATCAGGTCTGGTGCAACAGTCCCAGCAAGTTCAATTAGTCACTCACCTCCCTTGTGTAAGATACAGAGCTAACCTTTTCTTCTATTTACATTTCAGTAATTTAAGTATCTAAGCCTATCTAACAAGTTTGAACATTTCAAACTAAAGCTAAGCTCATGCACTTCCCCACTGAGCTATCGGGTGTATCAGCAATGGGAGTGCCTGTCAGGAGAACTTCACATGTGAACATGGGCTGCCAAGAATGGCCAGCTTCTTCAGGACAGACTTCCAGCAGTAAAGGTGTGTTAAAACAGAACTACAGGCTATACAGAGGCTCCCCATACTCTTCTACACCACAAGAAAATCTCCTCTTGCTTCGAATCTCCTCTCAGACTGTTTCTGTGACATTAAACCATAAATCAGGGTTTGCCTGGACATACCATCATAAAAGTTGCACGTGTTACACAGGAGTGAGAGGTCACAGCTCCTGAACTTCAGGTTCCTCAGCTCTATCTCCAACTTTGCATCGGACCAGCAACAGAAGATGTTTCCTTCCTATTACGCCAGAGGATTTGTATGTAGGAGTAATACTTTGAAGTCACATACCTCTAACACTGTGAGCACCTGTTGAGGAACCCTCGTATTAAAACCCAGAAGAGCAGCTACGTACCTGGAGGCAGATTGAAAACCATTCCTAGACACCTGGGCTTTGCAAATTTGATTCCCACAACTGATAAAACATAAACAAAAAGCAGCTTGACTTTCAAAAGAGGAAAGCCACAGCACTTTCCCAATGACAGATCATCCTCAGTTTCTGTGGGTGGGGCAGCAGAGCTAAAACAAGTCATGGAGAGCGGGGCTTTATTTTCTAGTGCTATTTGTGTCAGGCTAGAACATGCCCCAGTGCTTATGTCATCTGTAATATAGAAAGACTTTTGTTTGATGTTAATCAAGAAATATAATTAGCAGATTGATCATTAGACAAATTTCAAGTAGTAATTGCCACCTGCCTTCCTTTAGCTGGGCCTTTAAACTTTCTAAGAGATGAAAGCTAGTGGCTAAAGGAAGAAAACTGAGAAATTTAGAGCGTTGTTGGAGGGTTTTATCAAGAAGTATTTCTCAAGCCATATAAGGCTCAGATGTTCTTGTTTCCATAAACTAAACTAAATATTACAGCAGTTTGGTAGCCATTTCTCTCAATCTCCTGCTTGAAATGGATGAATTAGAAAAAAAAGAAAAATAAAATATTTTTTCTTTTCAAAATGATCCATTGCTATGATTTGGAGTTATTTCTTTGAGACAGTCTAGCAGCTCTTATAAAAATCCAATTCACTCATGCCATACTCACCATTGGCAATCTGCATCCAGGAATGCTGGGGAAGTCATGATGCTCCATGTGGTAGCCTACATTAAAGGTGAGCCAGTTCAGAGGTCCATAATAAGAGTATGTCTCATACCCTTTTAAGAACATGTAGTGTTCAGCTATGAAGTGTCCAGAAATGGGATGTAAACCCATGCAAAGAATTGAACCTGCTATTAAATAAACAACAGGTTTGAGCCCCCAAAGGTAATAAATTATAAGGTCTATGGAAAACTGGGCAAGAGCATTAAAAATTTCCATCTGTGTAATTGCTTTGGGGTTCACATACAGTGGTCTCAGACTGTAGAACAGAGGCTGGAAGAAAAGCCAAAGCAGTTTCCGAAGAGGCGTACAGAAAAACCAGCCTTCAAAGTCTGTGGGAATGTCCACATCCAGGCTGTCCCCACCAAGATACCGATGATGGTCGATGTGGTATTTCTTGAAGGAAGCAGAATAAGGGACGCCAATAGGCAAGTTGGCAAAGACTGCAAACCATCGGTTCCATTTGGTCTGCTTATTCCCAAAGGCGACGTTGTGTGAAATATCATGGATGGCTAGGGTCAGTGAGTGGTTGATGCAACCCCCAAAAGCATAAGCCCAGAAGATAATCCATTTCCAAGGTAAATCTTTTACCAGGTAGCATGCTAGAAACTGCAGGAAAACCATTCCAGATACAATCCACTTTAAATGTGGATCTGGTCCCATCAGAGTCTTGATTTCTGGATACTTTGCTAAAGGGAAATATAAAGAGAAACGTCTCATTAGTTCACAGTCAGGTATACGTAATCACCACTGGGCTCTCTATTTTCATCACCCTCTGTCTGAGGTCCTAGATTTATCAAATGGCTATTCCAAAGTGGAGTTGCCACTACAGTAAAAAATTTTACTAATGTATGGCTTCTATTCCCACTTTCAGCATCATGTTCAATTGTGGTCGATATTATTAAATATAAATATATAGAGTCACATAAAAAAAAAAGACAGTCAATATGTGCCTTCAGAATGGTATTAATATGCCAAACCCATCAGGTTTAAGCTCTAAGAAACACCTTCTGTAAGTTTTTTATTTCCTTTTATATTTTTCCTAGCCCAGATACTATATTCCACAAAGGGATACAACTGCTCTCTTTGTAGCCCTTTTCACACTGTTGCTTCAAATGTACAGCAGAGAAATAAGGCTGAGCAACAGGCTTGTCAGGTTTTGCTCTGTGGTTAGATGACAAATGTAGCATTAAGAAAAAATAAAATTCCTAAGTATTTGAGTGTTCACCAGTGCTTACAGCATGAACAACTCCTTACACACGGTAACATCACAAGAAGGTCAGCAAAATTATCAGGAATTTGTAAGACAGAACATTTTTCTCTGTTCCCATTCATTAGCTTGTTCCCAAGTCACATACCAAAACCAGGCATGAAAGTCGCATAGAGTGCAACAGCTCCATGCAGTTTCACAAACGCTACAATACAGTATCAGGGAGACATGGCTTGGCTTGACTTGTGTCAGGCCAAGACCACGTTACTGATCTGTGGTTCTACTGGCTATTTGTTTAGCCTTTTAAGAAAAAGAAAATACTCAGAAGTGCAGTTTATCTTCCAGGTGCTGTTCATTGCTTCGGGCCTCTTCTTTACAAACCCATACTTCTCACTTCCACTATTAATGTACACATGAATTTTTCCACTGTTTTATGGCCTTTAGCCATATATTGGCCTCCCTCCTTTAACTCATACTCTGTATTTATCAGTAATTACAGCTTACATAGATAAGACTGTATGACAAGTCACTCCCTCTGGGCCCTGAGGTTACAGTGTGCTCCTGTAAACTTGAAGGGCAAATTTTACAGCTAGAAAATTTTTATTAATTTTATGATAGAGAATATCACCTGACTGTAACAGTATGGTATCAATGCAATAAAATTGGATTATTATGATTTTCATCTATGCAGCTGTATATACTACAAACACTGTAGATGATACACATAACTTCACGTGACCTTCCAGGCAGTGGCAGGTACTCAGTGGCGGACTCAGAGAAGGTTGTTTATAGAAATGAACCCTGACAAGTCTGCAGGTGCTTCATCAGAAACATGAAACACTATTTAAGGAAACATGTTGATGTGGTCATGCTCTGCTCATGCTTCCAACAAATTTTGAGCTTTCTGGCCCACTTCAGCCCAGCTTGACAAAGGTTAGATGCAATAAAGATGACACAAATGCTGTGGAAGCTGATGAAAAAAGAGATACCCTTAATTTTTCCTCTTATGAGGACAAGGGGCAAAAAACACCATGAGGAGTATTCAAGCAAGAGAGCTATTACCCTAAGTGGTGGGAAAGGTTTTCAGTAAAATTCGCTGGAAAGCCCATGGTTTTTGTTTTGCTGTTTTGGTTTTGCCCTTGTGTTTGCAGTTTTTGAAACTATGGTTTTCACACTAGGAATGCTAGCATACTAGAAGTTGTTCTCTGGTACCTACACAGGTACCAAAATTTTACACTAAGTGTTGGTATATCCACTCTAGAGAATAACTTGATATAATGACCTGGCCAGAAAATCTGTTACAGAAATAGAATTTCGTGTAGCTTAATGTCCTGCTTAGGGGCATCTGTCCAAAACCAGGAAAACCCTTTAATAAATCAAACCACCCCAAATTCTCAGTCATGCGGTTGGTGGAGATAAGTTACTGCAGTCACCAGAAGGGATGAAGAAAGGTAAACCAAGCAAATCTGTTGCTCAGCCTGGTCAAATTGAGGCCACTTTGACCAAATAAAAATATATATATAGTTTTAATGGGATAAAGAAATGACTAAGAGATGCTTTATATTGTATTTTGAGGAAAATTAAAGTTTTCAACCTATTTCTCTCTGTGGCAGCTAACAAGGACTGCAGATTAGATTTAAGAGGTTTCAGAGTAGCGACTGCCAACCAGCAGCAACAGTGTCTGCAAGCGGCAGTGCAGGTAGGCTGCATTTATCACAGGTGACTGCTATTAGGTAACTTGACAGGGTTTAATATTAAATTCAACACATTATTAACTCCAACAGTAAATTTTTGCATACTGGTTAAACCACAAGACTGTCTGTTTATCATTAATACTGATAAACCCTTCCTGTTTCTGTGGCATGGGGTGACCTCAGGGAGCTAAGAGACCTAGGTCTGCTTGGCTCACAGGAGGCTAAAAGCCCCACTGGTAGAGTAGCCTGCTAGTACGTAGACCTTTTGGTTCAGGAACACTTCACATGCAAAATGTTGAATGCTGACCCTTTCAAAACTTGAGGCCACATACTCTTCAGCAAGACATATTTAATATCAGATCAAGTGATCCTGATGTCTGTGGTTTATATGTAACATGCTGACACAAAAATGTGACAACATCAATGTGCATCTCATTTTTCCCTCATGTTCATGCCTTGCAGTTAGCTGAAGCAATGCTCGTAAGGCAAGATAGAGCACTTGCAGTTGAAGAACCTGGATAACCCTGTAAGGCTGCTGAGAAAAGTGTCTGTAGATGCTGCTCAAACCAGACGTCAGCCATCTGCACATCCCAAATGTAACAGAGAAGACACAGGGCTACTGTGCAGTGCTGAACCAGGAGCCATAAAGGACTATCAGACCTGTGGCAGCTACACATTAAAGACCACCTTCATTTCCTACACATTGCACTTAGAAAAATAAACAGACACCTACTCTTGAAACTGCTAAACTTTCACACTTCATATGAGCAGAGATTTTCATCATGCTGCTCTTTCCTGAATTGCTTCCATGTTGGTCTTCCTCAGCACTTTTCCATTACAAAAATGATCAACTATATGACCAGAGTCCATTGCTTCCCAACAAGCACTGGGTCAGGGACAACGCATGATGATGGGCATAACATGTAATCTATAGTGAGCTCTTCATTATGTAATTATGGCATGAAGGGGCACAGGAATAGGAGGTAGAGGGAAATAGAACCAGAACAGCTCCAGCTACTCTGTTGACTCCACAGCACATTTTCCACCCTGAGGCTTATTGAGAAAGTCTGTTAGCTCCATGTGGCAGATGGCTTACCCACATGTGCTGCCTCTAGTTGTCCAGACTGAGCCTTCATGTAATTGAGAGGATGGGGATACTGGTGTAGATGTACAGCAGTGCAGAAACATGACATTTCTGTCTCCAAGGTCAACACACTGCAAATGCAGTGCAAGCACTTTAGTATAGTGGGTAGATGTACTTAATAATTCTGCCCAGCCAGCTCCATGGTCTCTATATCATAACCTTAGAGGAACTGCAATCTGTACCATGACAATAAAAGACAGCATTTTGCCTTTGTACAACAGCGTGGATGAAAGAACAGCAGTCAAGAGACAACGAATGCTGCAAGTATATTTTCAGAATCACTCATGATTCTGAAACAACTTATTTACTGAATTAGCATTATACAGAGATCACTCCACTGTTGTGTGTAAGCAACAGTCACCTTTCTAGAGGCATGCTTCCCTCTGAAACACTGCTGACAGATTACTCTGACTACATATTTTTTACCTTGATGGTCCTCTCTGGAGTTCCAGGAGCGCTCACCATAGCCCTATGCTGACCCTCAGCTTGGACTGGAGTAATGCTTCCTCGAGAAGCCATCAGCTGCTAGGTCCTGGTGTTGTTCCTCCTCAGGAGACAGGAAATACCTTGTTCTGAACCCTCACTCACCCTCTATTCCACTGACGTGTTCCTAGAATGACTCAGGGGAGACCCAGTTAGACCTCAGCAATGGCACCAGATACAATTTCCCATTGATGTGACAGCACATATTTAGCTCTCACATTTTGACATACATTGATTTGGATGTGGGGAAGAGCAGGAGCTGTCCACAAACACAGTGGTAATAGAGGTTTAAAGGAGCCGCAGCCCTGCCTGCATCCACGAGAAGCTAGTAGTAACAAGAGAAGAAGTTTAATTTTCTCATCTTCCTTTATTTTGACCACAAGTGCAGTATACAGGTATAGTCCAAGTGGAGATAGTACTCAGTATAAGAATTTTAGAAGGCCTGTTATAAAGAAAGCGGTGTGGGGATTCTTGTGATGCTGCTGTCCTGGACCATGTTCTGTCAACACTAAGTCCCTGCCAGAACAAATAAGAGACACCAGGCACAAGATATTAGCTTTACTGTGCCATGCCCTATGCTGGAGCTGGCATTTGTACCAAAATAAACAAAACAAAAGAAGTCAGTTTGCTGACATGACAGTGTTTTGTGTTTTAGCAGCTCAACTCATAAACATGTTCCTAAACAGCACAGCACACCTGAGTCCTCAGCACAGAAAAGATATAAACCTGTTGGAGTGGGTCTAGAGAAGGGTCATAAAAATGATCAAAGGGCTGGAGCACCTCTCCTATGGAGACAAGTTGAGTTGGGGTTGTTCAGCCTGGGGGAAAGAAAGCTTCAGAGTGACCTTACTGCAGCCTTCCAATATACTTAAAAGGAGCTTATAAGAAAGATGGGGACAAATTTTTAGTAGGTCCTGTATCAATATGACAAGGGTTAATGGTTTAAAACTAAAAGAGGGTAGATTTAGACTAGATATAAGGAAGAACGTTTTTTATGAGGGTGATGAAACCCTGGGACAGGTTGCCCAGAGAGGTGGTTGATGCCCCACCCCTGGAAATATCCAAGGTCAGGTTTGACAGGGCTCTTAGCTCTGATCTAGTTGAAAATGTCCCTGCTTACTGCAGGGAGGGTTGGACTAGATGACTTTTAGAAGTCCC